GGTCCCCCCCCCGGGGGGGGGGGGGCGACGCCTAAATTTTCAGGGGCGCAGTTAAAAATACAAAAATCTTTAAAAAAAACGATACACATGATTTTTAAAAAAAATTGGTTTGGGGGGGGGGGGTAGGGTAAAGGGGAGAGGGTTTGAATATTGGACTGTAGGTAAAGGAAAGAAGAGGGGGTGGGGGAAAGACTTGTCTTGCCCCAGGTGCTACATATCATCTTCGGTGCTCATCCATTTCTTCATGCCAGCATTTAAATAGTTACTTTTGAGTGTACATGTGAATTGAAATTAATGTAACGAAACAGTTCACATTTCATTTAATTCAGGAATCCTCAGGAATCTGAAGAATGTTTATTGATTATTGTGTATTGATTATTGTGTGTTGATTATTGTGTATTGATTATTGTGTATTGATTATTGTGTATTGATAATTGTTTGTTGCTAATTGTGTCTTCATTAATGTGTATTGATTATTGTTTATCGATTATTGAAGTGGTTTGATTATTGTGTATTAATTATTTTTTTGTTAATTATTGTGGATTGATTATTGTGTGTTGATTATTGCGTGTTGATCATTGTTTATTGATTATTGTGTATTTATTGTTGTGTCTTGATTATTTTGTATTGATTATTGTGTAAAATTTTGCTGAACAATTTATTGATATTATCCGCCAAAGGGGACGGAAACGCGACAGTCATGCATGTGAGAAAAAAAATATCCACGTTTCTGAGTGTTCAAGGTCGAATGATGCACATCCTGGGAAACCATCATGTGACCCAGAGCGCATGTCACATAACACAGGGCAGACATCACGTGTTTAAAATTGCTGCGCTTCCGATAATCTCTGTGAAATTTGTGGTCTACCCTCTCTCTCCCTCCTCCCCCCCCCACCCCCTGACATTTCCTTAGCAAGTTTTCAGTGATGCACCGTAATTCATAAATTTTAAAATGGAGCAGACGCTGCAGAAGAAAGAGATTTTGTTTCCTAAAATTTATTTTGAAGAATGCTAAATTTAAATGATCCACGTTCTTTCCCTTAATTGCGAGCGCTTTAGTCAAAAAAGCTCATCAGCTCTGACAGTTCCTTAATGTTATGTTACCGGGGTCTCTGTGGTTGTGAGTAGGTTAATTACGACAGAAGCAGTCGACGTAATATAGAGGCTTTGGTTTTGGTTCATTATTGGTAGGCACAGTGACACCGGGCCGAGTCCTCCGTACAGAACAAACCCATTTTTCCTGACTGGGTAAAGGTATTTCAATGTACCTCACCGCTGGGTCACTTTAACCCTAGCACTCCTCCAAGGATGCATCTATCTCTCTCTCTCTCTCGCTCTCTCTCTTTCTTTTAGACAACGTATCCATCCTTCATTCTGAATTAAAATGAAACTTAGTTGCTCTTACTGTCAATTCGATTCAACCCCACCAACGTGTGTGTGCCACACTAACCTCTGACCTCGTCTCTTGATTAAACCCCACCAACGTGTATGTGTCACACTAACTTCTAGCCCCGTGCATCTCTCTCTCTCTCTCTCTCCCCCACTCTCTCACTTTCTCTTGCTCTTAGAGAACGTATTCATCCTTTATTCTGAATTAAAATGAAACTTAGTTGCTCTTACTGTCAATTCGATTCAACCCACCAATGTGTGTGTGTCACACTAAACTCTAGCCCCGTGCATCTCTCTCTCTCTCTCTCTCTCTCTCTCTCTCTCTCTCTCTCTCTCTCTCTCTCTCTCTCTCTCTCTCTCTCTCGTATCCATCCTTTATTCTGAATTAAAATGAAACTTAGTTGCTCTTACTGTCAGCCTACTCTTCATCATAACCTATGACCCCCGTCTCTTGATTCAACCCCACCAATGTGTCTACATTGTCAATGTCTATTCAGAACCTACTCAGTACTTACCCAGTGGTTCTCCCACACGTCCATAATAAGGGCTGGTCCGAAGCTTCTGGCAGGATTGAGGCTGGCTCCGGTGTAGGGGATCTGCGGGGGGGAAGCATTGCAAATAGTGAACTTAGAACTTTACTCTACTGCCCTTGAACTTCACTCTTAAAGGTCACACATTTTTCCCCGGGGAAAAGTGTGTTGGTGTGGGGGGGGGTCGGGGTAGGAAGGGGACTTGGGTATCAGCAAGAGTGCCAAGAGGAAGACAAACTGAAAAGTAAAGCGCCCTGATTACAGAGGATCTCAACATATATTTTTTTTAGAGTGCGCAAAGTTAAAAATATCAGATTCAGGATTAGCGCTATAATCATACGCGAGTCATATTTTTTAGGAGGTATATCAAATTCCAGCTGTTTAGAATATCACGTGGGGAAACTCTGATCTCAAAATCTCAGGTTCAAGAATCCGACGCCTCAGTAGACGATTTCCGAAATCAGGGATTTGAAATTTGACCCAATACATCGACTTTGACCACAAGTGGACACCCCAAGCCAGAGACCGACGATTGGGTTTTGAAATGTAAAAATTATGGTTTTTTGTGGGGGGGGGGAGAGATGAGAGGGGGGTCCTTTGGAGGATATCAAATGGCGAATGGGGCAGTCATGTGATATATACACGTCATTTATTTCACTAAGAGGGGCAGTGGGAGTAGGAATGTCCTGGGGGGGGGTGAGATGAGAGGGGGGTCCTTTGGAGTATATCAAATGGCGAATGGGGCAGTCATGTGATATATACACGTCATTTATTTCACTAAGAGGGGCAGTGGGAGTAGGAATGTCCTCGGGCGCCAGATTAGTGGGGTTCGACTAGTGGGGGCGCCAAAATGGGCTTTGGTGGTATTTTTACTGATGAAACATATGGGTTTCAGAGGAAGAGAGCTGGGGAGGGGGGTTGGGTGTTAATAAGGACTCTTGTCCCAGGGCGCCTCATTCATCGCCCACCATACTCTGTTTATCTTTGCATCTGGATGTCCACTACGGGTGGACACATTCAGCAGGGACTTACAGCAAACAGGTGGCAGACCACCACCGCCAGACCAATCGTCAGGGGAGATGAGCCTCTGAGGTCTGTTCTCTTGTCGTCAAGCGATGAGAACACGGCCAGGACGTAGACGAAGGTGACGATGAGCTCAACACCAAACCCTGGAAGGTAAACCAGGCAGACGATGAAACACTTTGATGATGGAACACGTCGCAGTTTAAGATAGACAATAATAGGATAGTAAAAAAAAGTGGGATGAGGATGGACTGCGTTCAGGGTACAAAAAGGAAATATATTAGCACAATAAAGGGGAAAAGCTGAAAAAATACAAGATAGAGCTCACATATTTCTCTAGAACTTTCAACAGAATCAGATAAGATTTTTTAGTTGTTGTTTTTTTTAGGTGGTTTTTGGTTGTTTCGCCAGGGAAGGCTTTCTGCAAATACATCCATTCTTTAGTTTTGTCCCCCCCCCCCACCCTGTGTTTTTTTATTACGATATAATTAAATGAATGAGAGATAAAATGATGATTTTTAGAAAATGAAATGAAATGATAAGGTTATACATAATATTTTTTTATTTTTTGTTTTTTTTAGGTGGTTTTTGGTTGTTTCGCCAGGGAAGGCTTTCTGCAAATACATCCATTCTTTATTTTTGTCCCCCCCCCCCCACCCTGTGTTTTTTTATTACGATATAATTAAATGAATGAGAGATAAAATGATGATTTTTAGAAAATGAAATGAAATGATAAGGTTATACATAATATGATACGTAGTTATCATTAAAAGGTTTGTGTCTGAAGAGCTTTTATAATAACGTTGGTTATAGAATGAACTCTTTCAAATCTTTGTGCTCGTGAACAACATTGCTGACATGTGTGAATGTTAAATAGCTCGTCACAAACTGTGTTAGATTGTATAACTTTATGGTTTAAATAGCTGGAATGGAGCAGGCAACGGACAACGCTATGCGGTCCATCGATGCGCTTTCAGACAGATCGGCCGCTGAAGTTTCCTTCAAAAGATGTGGGAATGATTTGTTTATGTTTAACCGCAACCAAACGTCATCGTACCTTGGGCAGCAGAAACATTAACGTTGAGGACATTGGACCCCAGGTTGCCCTGTTTGACACTTGGGGTCAGCCCGTAGAGGATCCCTGCTCCGACGATCCCTCCGACAACTTGAGCAACGATGTACAGGATACCCCTGGAAGAGAGCGTGTTTGTTGTCAGAGTGAGTTCAAACTGCCACAGTTGTTGGGGAAAAAGGGGGGGGGGTGTTTCAATTCGTTCTGGAGCTTCTTCATTTTGAAGCTTATTACCGAAAAGTAAATATCAGATTTGCAATCAGATCAATTTGGAAGTTAAAAAACAAAAATTGAAGCAGCACCATTGCCACCACTGGATGCGATCACGCAATGTGATACCTTCCCGTCGTTCACTTATTCAGGTAAGTCAGCACCGACAGCTATTCATCTTATTATGTCAACCGTTTCTCGGCTTGACAGAAGAGGACGTACGGACCGACAAACCGAAACATTATTGCGTGGATCCCATTACTTCCTACCCCACCCCCTTGCCTTCTCCCCTCAGCCTTAACCATCACAACCAGAGATGCCTTAATGAGAAACCTAATAAGATTACCTAGAGATTATTTTTAAAAAAAATAAATCAAACCGACCCCTAAAATAAACGATTTTCGTATAAATTCTTTATGTGCATTTTTGTTGGCATTTATGTCATTTGTACGAGATTTTATCATTTATTAAGAATCGCTCATGTACATTGGTAAAACTTCTGGCGATAACACTTTTCCCATTTCCTTCATTACCCCCTTCAAAAAATAACGTTTTAATTTTTTTCTTGATGCATACCCAAATTCTCCAGAAATGCAAAGCACATAGCAGCACAATTAATCTCCACACCAAAACATGCAACCATTGACCATTCATATTTCATTCATCTCCTCCCTTAAAAATCCAGGAGTGAAAAAAAAACTTATTCTTAAGGGTCGGGGTGGGGTTAAAAAATGGATCGAGTGTGTTGTCATCGACAAACAGGCTACGTGGCCAAGTTTTCAGCTCGACAGGATTTCGGGAGTGGGTCAATTTGCCGTCCCAATATTTTGCCTTAAACAAAAACACAAAATAAAGCGAACTTAACATAAAGGATATTTTAATTTTAAAAACAACAACATAAGGTAAAGTCAACTAAAGTTTCGTACACATCGCTGACGTCACCGATGTCTTCCTTACCTGATGATGCTGACGCGCCTGGTGAAGAGTGCGGCGATCGTCACGGCTGGATTCACGTGACCTCCGGAAATATGGCTAAATATCCACACCACCGTCGCCACGGCCAGACCGAAGGTCAGGGCCACCCGAACAACATCCGGGCCCTGGCCCTGCCAGCTGATCCATGTTCCACAACCCAGTAAAGTGATGGCTGTGGATGATGAAGTTTAAAAAAAAAAATTAATTAAAGTTGTCGTACGAGGCTCGACGATGTATTGGTGTAGAGGTATATGAGGCTCGACGATGTATTGGTGTAGAGGTATATGAGGCTCGACGATGTATTGGTGTAGAGGTATATGAGGCTCGACGATGTATTGGTGTAGAGGTATATGAGGCTCGACGATGTATTGGTGTAGAGGTATATGAGGCTCGACGATGTATTGGTGTAGAGGTATATGAGGCTCGAAGATGTTGTGGTATAGAGGTATACGAGGCTCGAAGATGTTGTGGTATAGAGGTATACGAGGCTCGAAGATGTTGTGGTATAGAGGTATACGAGGCTAGAAGATGTTGTGGTATAGAGGTATACGAGGCTCGAGGATGTTGTGGTGTAGAGATATACTAGGCTCGAAGGTGTTGTGGTTTAGAGGTATACGAGGCTCAAAGATGTTGTGGTTTAGAGGTATACGAGGCTCAAAGATGTTGTGGTTTAGAGGTATACGAGGCTCAAAGATGTTGTGGTATAGAGGTATACGAGGCTCGACGATGTATTGGTGTAGAGGTATATGAGGCTCGAAGATGTTGTGGTATAGAGGTATACGAGGCTCGAAGATGTTGTGGTTTAGAGGTATACGAGGCTCGAAGATGTTGTGGTTTAGAGGTATACGAGGCTCAAAGATGTTGTGGTTTAGAGGTATACGAGGCTCAAAGATGTTGTGGTATAGAGGTATACGAGGCTCGAAGATGTTGTGGTATAGAGGTATACGAGGCTCGAAGATGTTGTGGTTGAAAGATATACGAGGCTCGAAGATGTTGTGATTTAGAGATATTTATTTATTTAGGCATTTTTATATAGCGCTTACCATAAAGCTCTAAGCGCTTTACAATTATTAAAACATGTAAACTAAGTAAATAAAAATGAGACACTAGGATAGTAACTACTATACTATAGAAACAATGAAAATGGCTATAAAACGAGGACACTTTGACACTTCAGGATCAACCCGAAACAGAAAATGAGGTAGGGCAAGGAGGGTGCATCACAGGTCATAGGCGGACCTAAACAGATGAGTTTTAAGGGACTTTTTGAAAATGGACGAGGTTTCACAATGACGGATATGGAAGGGGAGCTGGTTCCAGAACGTGGACCCATGGAAGATATACGAGGCTCGAAGATGTTGTGGTATAGAGATATACGAGACTCGAAGATGTTGTGGTATAGAGGTATACGAGGCTCGAAGATGTTGTGGTATAGAGACATACGAGGTTTGAAGACTCCATTAGATTCTGATATTGTATTCGTTGGGCTCTTGCCACATCCTTGAGGTTCTCTTACAGCATAGTACGTGTTGGACCCCACGTCATCTACATTTTAATCTAACATTTTGCATGGCATTGTTAAAGTAGTCCCGTGTTTCATCAAACAGTTTGGTCCAGACACTCTGGGGCAACGAAATCGTGTCAATACAATGAGGAAATAATGGGGTATACTAGTGGACATAGCACATTTTTTAAGCAAAAAAAAAAAAAAATGACTATGCTGTAACATGGAGTGGAATTTATAGTCCAAGCGAGTCTCAAAATGATTATACTTTGGGTAGGGGCGTAGGAAAGTTTGCGGAGTGGATGCCCGCCCGGGTTGTGCTTTTTCCTTATATGGGGGGAGGGGGGGTCATGTGCGGTCAACTGGACAAAAAATTCGTAGAAAAAGGGCGAAAAAAAAGCTTGTCCCGTCCCGAGTGCCACTAGCCCTAGCTATGCGCCCCCGACCACGTGGCTCATATTGTACTATTGTGTAACAGGGACAGAAATTCATATGGTGCTACGGAGTCTCAGAACTATTGTACCACGGAGATCCCACAACACAAAATGAAAGAAGGTCTGGGAAAACAACAAGTAAAAATAGCCTCAAATCCCATCATTTGTTTTTAAAACTCGGGCTGAGAAATCCTCGTGTACATTCAGGAGCCACGTAAACACATGCAGGCACCAAGGTAAACAGGTTAAGGCACTGCGGTAAACATTTTTACGGTGCCCTGTAAATGTTTACCCCCTTGGGTTCACACATTGTACAAATGGAGTCACATGCCGAACCCGTGGAGTCGGCCAATTTTTTTTTACGACGAAGCTACAAATTCTTCACCGATTCAGAAACTCTACCCTCTACCTAAGTTTTGTACGCGATTGGAGAATAACTAATCTACTATCACATACTGGGTTTTAAGAAATGCTCTCATGATGACACGCGAATCTAAATCTGGAGTCCTCGGCATTTTACTCTGACCTACTTTATTTTTTGTATATATTTTTTTTTTTAAATATTCGTGACATCAAGTGGCGTAACTCTTGTTTAACCGTATTTTTTGGATGATGTTCTCTTTGGTGGCCATCTGAGGACAACGCCCAAGCTTGTCTAAACTCCCGGCCACTGCCCAAATGACCCAGACCTCGTCCTACCCACCACACCGTGAACTTCCCACATCTCATTATAACAATAGTTCTTGCAGGCCGGCAGCTTTCATCACATCCGCCAGAGGGCGAGCATTCAACATCCCTGGACGCGGTGTGAAAAGGAATCGCTCGTTAAGGGTCAATGACATAGGTCAAGGACACTTGTGCTAATGAGTGCACCGGGCGCGAGGCTATCAGAAGGGAGGGTCCGAATGTAACTGGGCTCAGGCCGACCGGGGTTAAGCTAGGGATCCAATTAGCCACGTGTCAGCATCACGGGAGAGACAGAGAGAGCTTGCGTGGCGACCCCTAATCATACTTAGTCACGTGATACAAAAAAAATCAGGTATTTATATTAAAGACTTTTGTCCCACCATTAAAGATCATCAATGGACATTTAAAGATCATCAATGACCATTAAGATCATCAATGGCCATTAAAGATCATCAATGTCCATTAAAGATCATCAATGGCCATTAAAGATTATCAATGGCCATTAAAGATCATCAATGGCCATTAAAGATCATCAATGGCCATTAAAGATCATCAATGGCCATTAAAGATCATCAATGACCATTAAAGATCATCAATTGTCATTAAAGATCATCAATGGCCATTAAAGATCATCAATGGTCATTAAAGATCATCTATGGCCATTAAAGATCATCAATGGCCATTAAAGATCATCAATTGTCATTAAAAAAAAACAACCACAAACCGTGGAGCTTCGATCATTCTTGTGCGCCACAAAGTAGTTCGGCTACAAAATAACATTACCCTATTACAGCCAGGGGCGTCATTTCAGGTTTTTTTTCAAAAGAGGGGAGGGGTGGGGGCAAAAACCAAAACTTGTTAGGCTTGATAAGTTGTGTATTATTTGAGGCGCCACAGTACATAGCTATTTAAATTAAATCTGCAACTATTAAAGTGGGGTGGGTGGCAAATTCCCCACCCTGCCCTACCCAAATGACGTCCATGATTACAACTGCTTTTTGTTTTTAAAGGCGTCATTTCAGGAAACTACATTACATTCATTTAAGATGCCAACAGGGTCTGGATTATCCATAGGGCAGGGAGGGCCACCCCCCACCCCCCAAGGATCATAGAATCCAATCAAGGGTGTCACGCTCCACCTATTTGTGAGTCCCTATTTATGGTCAAAGTTAAGTGTTTCTATATAGTATATTCTTTAATTAAATGTCACACACACACACCCACAAACACACACAGAACCTACACCCTCAAAAAATAAAAATAAAACTCCCGGAATCAGTGGCGCAGCCAGGGTTGGTGTCACCCAGAACGGTAAAATCATGGTGTCACCCCCTGTTATGGTGTCACCCAGTGCGGTAAAATCATGGTGTCAACCCCCTGTTATGGTGTCACCCAGTGCGGTAAAATCATGGTGTCCCCCCGCTATGGTGTCACCCAGTGCGGTAAAATCATGGTGTCACCCCCCTGTTATGGTGTCACCCAGTGCGGTAAAATCTTGGTGTCACCCCCCTGTTATGGTGTCACCCAGTGCGGTAAAATCTTGGTGTCACCCCCCTGTTATGGTGTCACCCAGTGCGGTAAAATCTTGGTGTCACCCCCCTGTTATGGTGTCACCCAGTGCGGTAAAATCTTGGTGTCACCCCCCTGTTATGGTGTCACCCAGTGCGGTAAAATCTTGGTGTCACCCCCCTGTTATGGTGTCACCCAGTGCGGTAAAATCTTGGTGTCACCCCCCTGTTATGGTGTCACCCAGTGCGGTAAAATCTTGGTGTCACCCCCCTGTTATGGTGTCACCCAGTGCGGTAAAATCTTGGTGTCACCCCCCTGTTATGGTGTCACCCAGTGCGGTAAAATCTTGGTGTCACCCCCCTGTTATGGTGTCACCCAGTGCGGTAAAATCTTGGTGTCACCCCCCTGTTATGGTGTCACCCAGTGCGGTAAAATCATGGTGTCACCCAGTGCGGTAAAATCATGATTCACCCCCTTGTTATGGTGTCACCCAGTGCGGTAAAATCATGGTGTCACCCAGTGCGGTAAAATCATGGTTCACCCCCTTGTTATGGTGTCACCCAGTGCGGTAAAATCATGCCCCCCCCGGTTATGGTGTCACCCAGTGCGGTAAAATCTTGGTGTCACCCCCCTGTTATGGTGTCACCCAGTGCAATCCGCACCCCCACACCCACCCCCCCTTGCTACGCCCCTGCCCGGGCTAAATAATTGCATATTCTGTTTTAAAATTACGACTTATAGAGAAATCTACAACTGAATACTCTTAAAAATTCCTTTATTTACATTAATTTAGCTTTGTATGTTGGGGAAAAATCATCAGACGGCTAACTGACCCACTTACCGTCAACCTATCGAGCCGAAACTCGGCACGTAGAATCGTTGCCGATGACAACACATCTTTTCAAATTTTCAGCCCCAACCTCCAAAGCTCAAACCCCCCTTTCCCCACCAAATATTTTTTTTTCCTGATGGTGCTGATTTCACGCAATAAAACTTCCGATAACTTAATAAATAAAAGTATCGCACGCGCATTTCGTGCGAAATATTTTCTTTC